CTCTCACCTTCCTATTTATGTGAATCTTTGACTTTTCGGTTTCAATTTGCTACTTATTCGTGGTACCATGTACTAGTTTTCATGTCACCGTCGCATTCAACTTATCAAGTCAATTATCGCGGGGCCGTCCTTTAGCACAAATTTCGGACCTAATTTTTGTCATCATTCCACGCGCCTGGACCGTCCAAAGACCACAAACAAGGTTATAAACCGCTTATAGTGCTCTGGGTTAAAGAAAGAAGGGGCGGAGCAAGACACGTTAATCAACAAAAAACTATAAGAGAAGGAAGAGAAGTAGGAAAACGAGGGGCCTGTCTTGGTGTAAAAGGGGGGGGACACAATGACCAATGCGGCTGGTAGAAACGGAAATTTGTAAAAGAAAAGTTAAGGGTCTAATCCATAAAATTTACCAAATTCCTAGAAACCCGAACATTGGGGTGTCATCTTTGCCCAATTCCCTCTTCTCGATTAAGTAGTACTACAATCGCCGAAACCGGGAACATCCTTTTTTTTTTGTGTAAACGTTTATACAACCTGATACATACAAAATTAATAAGTTTGTATTCAAATGTTTAAAATTACAAAAGTGCTATATGATTACACACAATCAGGTCTCCCACCCCGCTGCAACCACGTTCCACCACGTAAAGGCGTACAAAAAATTGTCTATTAAATATAAAAGTAAAACTTTCAAGACTAAGTATTTCACCTCACAACAACACACAACCACACACACACACACACACACACACACACACACACACACGCATACACACACACACACACACGCTGATACATTGTTTCATTACCTCACGCCTGGACTATTGTAACGGACTCCTGTCCGGGGTTCCCAGCAAAACCCTGGACAGGCTCCAGTACATACAGAACTCAGCTGCCAGGGTTCTCACACGCACCAAGTCCTGGCAGCACATCACCCCCACTCTATTCAACCTCCACTGGCTCCCGGTCAAGTCCCGCATCACCTACAAACTCCTCCTCCTCACCTACAAATCCCTCCATGCCTTCTCCCCTCAGTACCTCACAGATCTCCTCCACCCTTACATCCCGTCCCGCACCCTTCGATCCTCAGACTCTGGCCTGCTCTCCATTCCCCATTCACGCCCCCGCACCTTCGGGGACCGTGCCTTCAGTGTCGCTGCCCCCCCCCCTCTGGAACTCCCTCCCTGCAGAAATCCGCAACGCCCCTTCTCTCAACATCTTCAAATCAACCCTTAAAACTCATCTGTTCAACATCGCCTTCCAACAATAACTCACTCTCCCCCCCACTTACACTTCCATTTCTGCCCCCTGTTTTATGTCTCGTCCTTGTATGTTTCTTTGTAAAGCGACCTTGAGGTTATGAAAGGCGCTATATCAATTCAAGTTATTATTAATAATACTGTGACTTTAGTTTTATAAATGATTGTTTGGAGAAGGCTTTCATTTTACAAAAGATCCAAGATGCATTTCTACGTGTGCAAGCTGAAAGACATTTCAACATTGTGTGTAATCATGACATGATAAACTCCTCCTTACAGATTATATTCGGCTCCAAACAGAAACAAACCTGTAAGTCTGGATCAGTAATGTGATCTGAGTGAAACCTGTGTGTAATGAGGCCACACAGCTGTGATACAATAACACACTGATAACATGTCTTGGATATATATAATGGAGAAAAATGTGCAGCTCAGCAGTGTCAGACACGGTTAAACCGGTTCTCTGTAGAACAGTGTGAGAGGCAGAGTTTATCATATTTGTATTTAGTTCAATACACCTTACAGTCCACAGAGCTTCACTTGATCTGTTACACAAAGGGTGCAGACTGACATTTGCGTCACTTTAGCTTCATCCTATTCTGTACAAAATACATTTCATAATGAAAACAAACACTACTGTCCAACAGAAAACCTCCCCTTTTTATTTCCTCATGCACTATACACAAAGCTCTGAAAAGTAAATACCATAGTTTACAGGTTTACAGTCTAATGAGCCTAACACTACACAAGTAACTGGGCTTTATTTGAAATGTAACTAATAAAAAGGCTTTAGTTAGGCTTTTCTTTGAGGATTTTTAACATATTTTCAACCACTTTGACATGTTTTTCATTGTTGTCACTCTGAAGCAGCGCTTGCAAAAGCATGCACAAAATACTATTAGAAATGATACCAGGCTTTGGTTCTTGGTTCGAGTAGCTGGTATACAATAGGTTACAAATGACAGTCTGTATTTTTACCGTGTCAGATATGTATTTAATCAACATTACAATATTGAATCAAAAGATACCCAATATTAAATCCACTTGGATTGGGAAAAGGGCCGTAATAGGTACATCCCTATTACTTTGAATTCTCCAAGCAGATGAGTGATGACATCATCAGAGTTATTTTCTCACACACAGAAAACATGATCTAACTGAGTTAGTGGCTTTTCAGTCCTCACCATGTGTAACTATAAAGAATACAGAGCAGAGTCAGCAGGGATCCCTTCAAAATACAAAAAAAAGGTATGGTTCCACAAACAATAAAAGACCACAATGCACTTGCTAAATGTGCCATTGTTGTTGCAGTTCTCCTGACTGCCTACAGAGGGCAGTACGAGGCAGAGTGTGAGTCATGTCTCTGATGGTCACTGGCTCCTCACAGGTCGATGGTTCCTCTGACTGCCTACAGAGGGCAGTGTGTGTCATGTCTGTGATGGTCACTGACTCCTCACAGGTCGATGGTTCCTCTGACTGCCTACAGAGGGCAGTGTGTGTCATGTCTGTTATGGTCACTGACTCCTCAAAGGTCGATGGTTCCTCTCACTTTAAACTTCTTGGCTGAGCGTTCACTGGCTCGCTGCTCAAACTTGCTCCCGTAGATGTGGGACACGAAGCCGTTGATCTCCACTGAGAAGACGCTGTTCCTCTTGGGGATCACTGTCACACAGAGAATAAAAACAATCTGTAACCAGCTTCACCATATTTTTGTAGAACATTATATTGTATTGTGACAAGTCTGACATGGTGGACCATAGTTAAAAACAACTAAGAATATGATGGAGGGACAGACGACTGGAAAGCAAAATGATTGTGATGATTGTGTCCTGTTTTCGTGAGTCTTACCTTTCAGTTTGTCTTCTCTGGTGATGATCTTGAAGACGTGTTTGAATTCTTGGACGATGATCCCAGTAGTCCCTACATACGACGGGCATTTAGAGCGCACCACTGTGACAGAGACAAACATGAACTATTAGAACTCAGTCAGCACAATAGGATATTCTCTGATGGGCATACAATAAGTAGATTGTTGTGAATGAATGATCTCCATAATCAATAATATCTAAATGACTCATTTGAAAAAGGTTTCTATCTTATAGGCCCCGTAGGAAAGATCCGACTCACAGTGTTGCTATGTCTTATTTAATTATCCTTTATGGAAGCAGGTGGCCGAATGATTATACATTTAAGATTTTTTACAAAGAAGATGTTCACAAAAAAAAGATGTAATATTTTTGATGCAAAATAAATGTTTGTAAGAGTAGGGTGATTTTATTCATATAAAATCACCCTACAGATTGATTCTGCCCTCGCAAGAATACTTTTCGGATTGCAGGCTTGGCAGATAGCTTAACACGGAAATAAACACCCAGGAGACAGC